ATTCACTAAATTATGATAAAATAATGGTAATGATAATAATGATACGATTAAGATATCTATCCTTAATCATTCTTAGGGAAATGTCGTCAAATGCTATTAAGGTTCTACCACAAGGAATATTTGCTTCATTATCAGGTCTAAGTGAGCTGTAAGTATGCGTATAATTCATCTATAACGTCTCAAGTTAAACGGAAATTCATTGGGTCAGTTATTTAAACAAAATCGAACTTAGACCACGGTTTAGGAAATGTTTGGACCTCCAGATCTCTTCCTTAGTGGGTTATTTTAAGAAGATAAATGCTTTTCTAGTCTACTTTACATGCTTTAATGAAACTGTTCACGATAAATGGTGTTGAAATAAAAGCGTTCGCCAAACTGAAAATGGCTTAGAACGAAGTTTTGTTAAACACTGGCTAAACTCCGTTTAAATAACTCTAAACTGGCCCATTAAGTATAGGTGTGGCTTAGAATTTTAAAATGGACTCTATCCTAAGTCATTTTTAGTGTTGTTTCTTGAATTGTGTTACTAAATGAATAAATAAATAAATAAATAAATAAATAAATAAGTAAGTAAATAGATAAATAAACAAATAAATGAATTGATAAATGAAAGAATAAATAAATCATTTTAATTAAGTTTTGCCCATACCGTGTTAATGAAGAATTTTCTTTCTTTAATTATTTTGCAGAAATTTGACTGCAAACAATATTAAAAACCTAACAGCGGAAACATTTTCTACTCCTATTAATTTGCAAAATCTGTTAGTTTCTTAATGTTTGGTGTGATTGTTTTTTACTTAAGCTAAATAATAGTTTACTCTTTATTTTGTCTATATTTTTACCACTACTGATTACTTTCTCAATTGCAAAACTGCTTACTTGCATAAAGAGCGTTTTTTACTCACTACAACATAAAGAAAACAAGACTAAAGAGTGCGTAATGATCGAATAATGAGTGGGTAGGATAACCTTGAAGAGCAAGGCTTGTGTACTGTACTGAGCTGTAAGTTCTCTTCTTGATATGAATTTCAATGTAAAATATAACACGGTAGAATATTATGTGCTCGACAGAGAAGACAAAATCAAAATTATGCATCGTTTTTTGAAATTAGTAAGGATAGCCGGAAGATGCTTAGCACTGAATAATGTGATCTGTAATTCGTTGCAGATCTATAAATAAATATATACACACTGTATGGATAAAGTAATTTATGCTCATTTAAATTGTCTTTAGTTTTGAAATATCAAACTGCTTTCAAACAATCATTTTATAAATGAGGCTGACAATCAGATTAAAATAACTGTTTTATCAATATAATATACAACCTCTTCTCGGAATTGATCGATTATGTTAAAAGTTGTCTGTGACAATTTTCTATTTTAGGTATGTTGGCTCGAATAGCATTCAAAGCATAACAACGAACGTCATTTCACACCTCACACTTCTGTCTAGTTTGTAAGTCGTGTCCAAATCGTTGACATACTCATCCCGGCAAACATGAATTTCTCAGTATTTCTTTTGGATCAATCTTAGCAGCTGGGCACAGAACCTTATATAAAAACAGTAACAGAATATAATATACAACACCTTATATATTCCACTGCACTAAAATTACCTTATTTTAGTTGCTGTGTCACTAAATAAAGCAATTAAATTAAAATAGCTCATTACTAAAAGTCCTTCTTACGAACGCCTTCTTTAACACTTAAAAATCATGTAAAAAGTTTTTGTTGTTATATCTTTTGTGTATGAGTTACAGAAGGCTTTCCTACAAGCCTTGTGTAAGGACTCTTACACAAGCCTTCTGTAAGTATCTTACACAAGCCTTGTGTAAGGACTCTTAAACAAGCCTTCTGTAAGCACTCTTACGCCTTCTGTAAGTATCTTACAGAAGCCTTGTGTAAGACTTTTTATACAAGCCTTCTGTAAGTATCTTACACAAGCCTTGTGTAAGCAACCTTACACAAGTCTTCTGTAAGGACTCTTACACAAGCCTTCTGTAAGTATATTACACAAGCCTTCTGTAAGTATCTTACACAAGCCTTGTGTAAGGACTCTTATACAAGCCTTGTGTTAGATACTTGCAGAAGCCTTGTATAAAAAGTCTTACACAAGGGCTTGTGTAAGCACTCTTACGCGTTCTATAATTGAACTCTTACGCAAGCCTTCTGTAAGTATCTTAGGAAAGCCTTCTGTAACTCATACACAAAAGACAACAAAAACTTTTTACATGATTTTTAAGTGTTAAAGAAGGCGTTCGTAAGAAGGACTTTTAGTAATGAGCTATTTTAATTTAGTTGCGTTATTTAGTGACACAGCAACTAAAATAGGGTAATTTTGGTGCAGTGGAATATATAAGGTGTTGTATATTATATTCTGTTACTGTTTTTATATAAGGTTCTGTGCCCAGCTGCTAAGATTGATCCTTTCTTTTCACAACTGTATGATTCAGGTACGTCTTTTAAGGTCAAGAGATTCGACTGTAATAACAAATTTAAAGGAATAAACATTACTCACTTGAAAGTTGTCTAGGGACAATAATCAATGTTGTTTTTACTCCTTGGAACATAGTTGATTCTTTATTTTAGTTAAATTAACGATGGATAACATGGGTTTCTTGGGTTTTCATGTTCGTATTTTTTCTTTTCTTTGTACATGCAAATGCAAAGTTCAAGCTTTTTGGACATCTGCAATTTAAATTGCTTTTTTTTAAAATGTTCTTCCTTTTTAGGGACCTATCTTCAAACAACATTAAAAACCTTTCGGAGGATTTGTTTGCTTCCCTTGGACGTTTACAAACCCTGTAAGACTTCATGTTTTCATTAATTTAAGCCTGGATTGCCAATAGAGTTCTGCAAGAAGCCTTTGAATATATGAGCTCACATAACTTCACAGGAGTTCAGGCTTCAGGAATAATCATCGTTAGCTGCGACAGTGCTGTTTCGTATGGTCCGAAATTATACGACCACACTCACGAGCTCACATATGTACAAAAAATTCCAGTTTTTGAGAAAACATAGTAGGGTATAGAGTTCTGCTGCCTATGCATGATACTAAGGTTACGTGTCCGTCAATAATTTGCAACATTCAGTTCTCAGTCACGTCTTCAGCAGATGAAGATGATGACGTTGCTGGGAATAATGTCACCTGTCACGTGGTACTAACAGTACTGAAATGTATCCGAGGACACTGGAGGCGGGATAGGTTACGATTGCATTTTTATATCATAAGCAATTACTGAAGGCACATTTTTGCTTAATCTGCCTTCATTTGTTAGCTTTTTTACGCTGCAGTAAACTTTGTGAGCTATATATATCTACTAGATCACTGGTCCATTGCTATGACTTTTCTCCACAACATGGCCAACTTTCTTTTCTTTTAGGTTGTTATCTTCAAATAATATTCAGCGTCTTCCGTCTAAGTTATTTGCTTCTAACCGTAACCTTGTGAGGCTGTACGTTTGTTTGATTTATTGGTTGAGTATTGAATTTACTACTCGTGTCTTTGATTGATACGTACTTCACTTTTAACTGGGACACATTGTAAAGAGAATAGAAACCAGACAAGACGAAAACAGCTTTGGAAAAGGTGCAAAGCCACGAGCAACGTTTGGACATAAGTGTTACAAAAGCTCCAAAACAACAACACACAAAAAAGGAAACTATTATAGGCATCTGCAACTGATTTCAGCTGTAAAAAGCCGCCGGCTTTGTTCCGAACTTTCAAACTCGAAGGTTATGATAAATGAAGGTCTTTAATTGCCTAGTGAATGTCCAGCGGTGTTACCTTGTGTGTTCATCGAGTTTTTCATCTAATGAACGATAATTCTGTTACGAAGGCTGATACTTAGGTACAGTGAGACAAATGTTTAAGGACAAGAGCTAGCTCCTGCGAACAAAACATGATGATCCCGTGTAAATCATGATTGCTGGTCTTTAGCAGTAGGTTGAAGTGCCTCTAGAAAAAAAAAACTTAAAAATCATGAAGGTAACTAATAATAACGATAATCTGAGTGAGTTTCTAACGAAATCCATAAAGCAACTACGCAAGCAAGAATGCATGATTAATGAAGAAGGACAAAAACTATTAACTTCTGTTTTTTTTTTTATACATTTGTAGTGATATTTCGTACAACAACATTTCTCACTTACCAAAGGACGTATTTTGCTGTTTGGGGAGTTTAAGATATCTGTAAGTATTATTTTGAATAATGTTCAAAATAGTTTTCTATACGTAAGGACTCACGCAACATAGATATGAGCTTTCCCTTTTGTTACATTCCTCAGCCTTTTTTGAACTTACTAAAGACTGTTTGCCGGTTCCATTCATCTCAGCTCAGCCTCCAAGCATTTTAAGTCTTTTTTGGTATCCTCGCTGTTGTTTCTACTATTTGTTTTTGTACCAGGCAGGTCTCTTTCATTTTTCCCCTCCTTTCTATTCCATTCAATTATTTCACCTGTGTATCCATTTTCTCTTTAAGGTTACATAAAAAGTAAGCTTTATCACACTGCGAACTGGTAAAAAACACTTGAATGTTACATGCCTTGCAAAACTACTTTCAAAAAGCCATTAATAATTCATAAAGAGAAAAAAAGAAATTGATGTTTAATGAATGTATTTATATCTTACATAGACACAGGTAAACTTTACGTCCAATTTTTTTAGACCAAAATAATCTCAAATCTCAATATTAGTGCAAGAATGAGTTGATCTATATGAGATTTTGCCGAAGCTGTTCAAAAAACTCGTAGTCATGTATTATCAGGTTTAAAAACTCTCGGCTTCGCCTCCAGTTTGCAAACCAGATAATATACTCCTGCTCGCTTTTTAAACCCAGTACTTAAACTGTTCACCAATGAACTAGCACATCTTCAGTTTAAATCCAGAAGTGAATTGTCGGGCGCATAGTGAACAACCTGTGTTAGCAAAAAATTCCAAACACGACTGAGAGGTCACCGGAAAGAAGGATGTCACTGTTTTAAATAAATATCGACTTTGTCTTTGTTGTAGATTTCTGCGGAACAACAGAATCGCCTCCATATCAGCAGACACGTTTGCTTCTCTCACCAGACTAATATATCTGTAAGCAATTCTAATGCTTCCCCCCCTGATACTCATAACTTGAATCAGCGGTTTCTTATAAACAACTAACTACTGCTTTCCTATTAACACTTAATTTGGTTAGCCTGCGATCAGACGGTCCTTCCTTTTTCTTTGGGAGGCAAGAACAAGAAAAGGAGGTCTCCCTTTGCCCATCGCTCCTTCCCGCAAACTGATACACCTGATCACAGGTGGGGTTTACACTGAGGTAGATTGCTCCTTATCAAAGATGGATGAAAAATTATTATAGGTGAGGGTTGAGTTGGAGGCATTTTTAGCATGTTGTGCAAGGACTGTAAAATCAATTTATTCTTTGAATAGCTTCATCCAAACATTGTCATTAAATCTATATATAATATTTCAGTTTTCTTAGTGCCAATCTAATTCCAGTCATACCACACCGAGCGTTTTACTATCTAAAACAGCTGAAAATCATGTAAGTGCGGTTTATTCTAGTGAAAGATTATAACTAAGGCAATGCGAAAAGAGTAGTAATACACGGTAGTCAATTTTCTTTTTGGAATCTTGATTTAAAAGCTTTGTCTAGGAAAAAAAACTTTAATTATCTTCTTAATACCACTCTGAGTGTGTGTAACTTAAGGCAACTTATTTGCTGAAATTCGCCTTTTTATATATCAAATGTGGGTAAATATGAAGGCTTTTAAAAGAAACACTTCTCGATAGAGTAACATTACGTGGTCTGAATGGTAAAACAAAATAAAATGACTTTATGGGAGACTGTGATATTTGCTGAAATTCGTCTTTTTATTTATTAAATGTGGGTAAATATGAATAACATTACGTGGTGTGAATGGTAAACAAAATAAAATGACTTTATGGGAGACTGCGGTAAGCTCATCAAATTAAGAGAAATACAAGTTATCCCACGGATCAAGGACTCCGGGTAAGAGCCAGGTTAACTGCTGGGCTACAGAGAGGTTCCAAATGAGCAAGAAATTTGAATCTTATGGCCTAAATCTTCTACGGGCGGTAGTTAGAGAATTGTCCAGCATAAGATAACGGATTTAAATCATTGCTGAGCTCTTTGTTCCACATTTCAGACAACGAATATATCATAATTTGTAACATTTTTATCTGGTAAATGTTTTTTAGAATGCTGACAGACAATCCCACGGAAAAGATCGAAACAGAAGCATTTAAACTTGGAAGAGCTTCATCCCTGAACATGTAAGTATAACTTGTTTGTAGAACGTGGCTCACTTTTGTTTCTCAGAGGAAAAAAATCGCTAAAAAATTAAAAGGCAGTCCTTGAACCACCTAGACTAATTGCTTCATACTCTTATTGGAAATTAAATGAATTTCCTAGAGAATGTTATTCATTTAGACCGATATTGAATGAGGTTATTACATGGAAAGATAATGTAATGGTGTCTGCTTTTTCCTTCCCTTTGAAATTCAGTTAAAGGAGCTGTGTCGCAAAATTCAGCCAAATTAGGAAATTGCAAAATGCCCATTAAATAAAGAGAAACATAAAAATAACCGCTTAAAACTTTAAAGGAAGGTTAAAATAACATAACAGAAACAACAGGTGCCACGGATGGGCAAAACTGAAGAACGGAAAATACGAAACGGACTGAAATTAGGGTTTTTGAAAACTGTTCAGCCTAACAGTTTTTCAAAGTTGATCCCTGCTGCTTGCAACTTCAAAAATAATGCTCAGGAGACGTATTTGTTTGTCTCGGATCTCTGATTTTGTCATTTACATGTAATTTCTTTGCTTACTTTAAGTTCCATAGCGCTTGAGGGCAAGTAATTTGCAAAAGTAAACAAAATGAAGTGGACTGCCGTGACATAGCCCCTTTAATGTCCATGCCATATAAAATCTATTCACCTAAAATGTCGTCCGTATTGCGTCATCAAGGTTCCATCTTTAAATCACTTATTTTAGGGACCTGTATCTTTTTCCAGCTGAGGTAACTCGAAAATTTAGTCAAACAAAGTAACGTAAATCCTCTATTAAGCCCCCTTCTCAAATAAGCCCCCTCCCTCTAATAAGCCCACCCCCCCCCTAAAGTAGCTTATTCGGGGCGGGAGGAGGGGAGGTGACTAAATTCTTCACTAATGAATGATAGACTGTATTAATCGCTCAAAACTGTACAACTTCGTGTGGGTTGATCCGGGGTGGTTTATTTACCAACTGCTAGAAGTTAGGATTTAATTCTGATCCTCGGCTGCTTTACCTGCAACCTTCATGTACTTGAGCTTTTCCACTTTGTATTCTAGTTCTTTATGGAGAACTGATATACTGTTATCTTTTCTAAATTAAATAAGCCCCGCCAATCCTCAAATGAGCTTGAAATAAATAAGCCCTCGGGGGGCTTAATGGTGGATTTGCGGTAGTTATGAGTCTTAAAAATAAAAGAAAATAAAACTTAGCTTAGTCTAAAGAACTTCAAGTTACATAGTCTACGATTTTGTAAATAATTTTCTATCCTATATTATCTCTACAGATATTTGCTGCGGATGAATTTGAAGACATTAAACATTCAGTCATTTGCTGGCTTCAGCGGTCTAGACTCACAATTGTGACGTATCACTTTGACTGAATTAGTACATTACTTAAAAAATAATGTTTTCAAATAATAATAAAAATAGAAAATGTAGTCAGAAATGTGACATCACGGCGACCCTATTGGTGTTCCAAAAAAATGGAACGGCGGCCGTCATTAGTCACGACACCTGTGGATGGCGGCCGTGTTAGTCACGACACCTGTGGATGGCGGCCGTGTTAGTCACGACACCTGTGGATGGCGGCCGTGTTGGTCACAACACCTGTGGATGGCGGCCGTGTTGGTCACGACACCTGTGGATGGCGGCCGTGTTGGTCACGACACCTGTGGATGGCGGCCGTGTTGGTCACGACACCTGTGGATCCTGTGGAGTTGCGCTTTTCTTTTGCTCCAACAAATTTGTATAGATGCTGGTCACGTGAATGAAAATGCTCTGTTGCTTGGAGTTAAAAATTCTGGGGGTAGAAAAGGACGGGTATGCTCGTCGAAAAATTGGAATCAAAGCCCTAAAGAAGACCAGACTGGGTGTACATTATTTAAGAAATAGATTCCATGTTGCCGTACGTCTGTTTTTACCACACAGACCCACGGTAACATGGAATCTATTTGTTTTGTACAATGATCAGGAAAGAAAAAAAAGACCGATGCACATAAGAAACTTACCTGCCTCGTACCGCCTGACTGTTCGAGGATTTCTGCTAGTTTAGGCATTTTGTAAGTCCGAAACGCTACTTTTCGTCTCTGCTTCTGCTTTTCTTTATCTTACTTTCATTCAGTTTCTTTAAAAAGTTTTTCGACGTCTTTTCTCGCTCAAAGCAGAATAACAGCGAAAACATCTTTTTGCAAACAGCGAGTCTCTCGTAGCGATAACAGATGATGGCAACTGTTGTGAAGATTACTCGCAGTTTAGACATTCTCAAGTTGTCAAGAACTCTTTTTGTCTCCGTTTCTCCATACTTTCTTCTTTCCAAATAGCTCCTGCTAAACGTTTTTCGAGGCTTTCACTTGCTTGATCCGAAATAATCTCACCAACGTTTTCAAAACCGCACGCCACGTTGAACAAAACAAAGAAAACAAGTTTACCTTGACGTCATCCACGTATCTGTACTCTAATAGTTCCAATCACAGCGCGCGTAACATTCACACCATTGTATAAACTAAGATAGACAACTAAATAAGAGCTATTATAGCGGATCCCCATTACTAAGAACATTTGGTTATCTATCCCCCCGAGAAATTTTGGTTGTGACGTCAGCGTACGCCCACCCGAACGTACAGACGCTAGGGGAGGGGGAAGGAAGTTCGACAACAGCTCGACTGGGAAGTGGATAACGCGATTTCGCAGGAAATCACGCTTTTAGACCATGGGCAGCCCGCGTTTTTCCTCGCCGGAAATAGCATGACCCTCGCCGCTATAAAAAAGAGGTTTCTTTGTTTTACAGATTTTTCATAACAAAGCGATTTACAGTGCTAAATTTGAAGCTTAATTGCAAAATTATTGCTAGTTATGTCAACAAACGAGAGCAGATTAAATATAACGTGCAGAAGAGAGAGTTAAAGTGGTGAGCAACGGGAAAGAGAGCGGCAGAGAACATTTTCGGTGGTAAATCGCATGACCACCCGAACTTTTAAAGAGTAAGAAACAACAACAAACCCGAGTCTTTCTTTCGACTAAATTTTAATGCCTACATTAACGTGGAAACGAGAGAAAGAGCCAGAGCAAGAAATAAAAAATAACGGAGACCAATTTCGTTGAAAGAAAAACATAAAAAGAGAAAATGAGAAATGCTAGAGGTCACCAAGGTGAAAATGAGCGGGACTAAAAAAAAAGTGAACAGGAAGACATACAACATTTCCTCCATGAAACCTGTAACCAGGAAGTTTCTAGAAGGTTCACGTTGTAGTCAGGCAAAAAAAAAAAAAAAAAAAAAAAACAGCAGAAAAATTTACAAAACACTTTTCTTACTGTCAAAATTTTTTTTTTTTTTTTTTTTTATTTGTTTTTTTTTTCTTCTTTTTCTTTTTTTTTACACTTTTTTTTTCAAATACCTAGTCTTTTTTTTTGTTGTTGTATTTTAA